AAAAGTGTCAGTTTAATATATGTAAAATGATCAGCTAAAGCTCTCTTTTATCCAGAAGCATTGCATCTAAACCTTTGGCATGTAAAATGGTTAATGAAACTTTTGGCAGTTGTGCTGTTTGTAATCAGTAACATTCAGAAACAACCTGCCAGTTGGGCACTTCTGCCATTTAAAACCTGGCCTATATTTGTCAAATGAGTGTTACAATATACATGAAATGTGCTCGTGCATTAGAAAATAAGGCTATGTGGGATCACAGGCATTGTCTCCTAACTTGCAAGATAACTAAAATTAACAACACTAGACTTTTGCAGGGTTGTGTTCATGTGTTCCTAACTGTAACAAGGAGCCCTTAGTGTTGTTCTTTTAATGCTGTCAGTCGTAATTATTTTCCTAAAATTCTGTCTGCAATGGAAATAACTAGATGGTCTGACAATTACTAAACTACTTTTCAGTATTTTAACCATGGACATTCTAAGCTTTATCATTTGCAGTGTGGGTCCTTTTCTGGAGTATTTGCAATCAAACCCCAAAAATGACTCTACAAGGGTCTTTTGTTGCTTATAATTTGTCCAAATAGGTCTTAGTTGGCAGTGATTCCTACCTGACCTGCCTGATGCTTCCCCTCCATCGTAGGACATCCAGGAAAAGATTAACGAAGGACTTTAATTAACCAGAATGGTTAATTGACAAAATCCTCAGAGGATACAGCTTGGATACAAGAGAGGAAAGCTGTCACAATTCTGATGGAGTCACCTGTGCCAGACCACAAAAGTTACAAAAGCTAAGAGGTTTTAAAGAAGTAGCTCATGCCTATCGTACTGCTCAGCAGGCAGAGATCAGGAGGATCACAGTTCGAAGCCAGTCTGGGCAAGTAATCCATGAACCCCTATCTCAAAAAAGCCCTTCACAAAAAAGGGCTGTGGAGTGGTTCAAGGTGTAGGCCCTGAGTTCAAACCCCAGTACCAAAGGAAAAAAAAAAGAGATCTTAACACAGGGCTGCTAGACCTGCTAGCCCTTACAGGTACTTGAGACAGAAGGCAAACTCATATTTTTGGCCAAGGTCTTCTATTTAAGGAAAGACAAATTATTTTTGCTGGTTCCAATTTTATCTTTTTAGTAGTCCATGCTCTTGGAGTTATTTTCCCCTAAGCAGTCTATTTAACTGGGAGTTTTCTGACTTTTACTTACTCTGTATTCTACTTGAGAAAGGCGTTTCTAGTTTGGGACTAAATAACAAGTACTTATGACTTAGGCTTAAACTGCCTTTGCTAAAGGATGGAACACCCTCCAGATAACAACGCTGAAACCTCTCCCAAAACAAAAACAGATAATGACCAACCTGGCCACACCTGGGTTGGGACTGTTTACTATACATACCTTTGGTTCCCTGCCCCCAGTTTGCCTACTTAAAATGTCTGTAGCAGGGTCCCTTGGTTCTCCTCATGCTGACTACCACTGGCCATTGTGCATTGAGCTGCATGTCTCACTTTACCCCTCAAAGCCTATACTCCCTCACACAGGTTTTCACTCCAAACCTTGTCCAAAGAATGCTGTTTTTATGCCAATACTGCTTTTATATCAACCAGTCCAGGATCGTTCATGACGTCACTAAGAGACTTTGGGAATGTGCTGCTAATCTCTAACAGACAACTGGAAACAGTGGCCTCCCAGGCCAAGTGGATGCCAGGTCCTCCTTCTGCTGGGACCCCCTTATCTCTTCCTCGTTGTGAACTTGTCCCTTTCAAACACTTTTTTTGTTTCTCAGAGGCTCCAGGCCTTTGTCCAGGACACTACCAGTAAGCAGATCAATTCAATTCTGTTCCTCCAACACGTCTGCTACAGCCGCCTAAAGCAAGAAGACCTGCCGATACCACCTCCCCTTAAGAGCCCTTGGCTGCCCACTCCCCTTTAGCAGGGAGCAGATAGAGAGCCATTGGTGGCCTGTTCCTGTATCTACAGGCCTGTTCCTGTATAAAGGCAGGAATGTTAGGGAAAGGTAGCCATGTTGAAACTGGACCCCACCCCCTTGAAGGTGACTTACTGAAAACTCTCCACCTGGCCCTAAAGGAAAATAGACATTCACCTTAAGCCATTTACTAGAAACTCCCCACCTAGCACAGAGGGAATGACCCTCCCAGTAAGCCATTATCTCAGGAAGGTTAGGGGGACATTGAGGATTATCCTGCCCAGTGACCTTCCTGGGGCTTCTCCACCCACCTCATAAACACCCCTAGTCTGTCAGCCAAGTTGGGCTCATATGCCAGCCCAGGGTTTTTGTTAGAATGAAGGAGGTGAGCAGCGGATAAGCGGGACGCAGCTCATACGCCAGCACCTGAGCTAAGATTCTGGACAAAGGAATCATTCAGCAACATTTTGCCTCACTAGCCCCTGCCTTCCAGTGCAGGTTCTCAGTGTTCTGTCAAAGGCCCCTCTTTCTGAGGCCCCAGAGGCTGCCTTTGGTGCCTCCCTTCCTCTGGCATCCTCCACCGTTCTTGCTGAGCAAGCTCCATGCCAATGAGCACCTTGAATCATTCCAGAGCTAAGTCTGCATCTTTGGCAGGGTGGAGGAACAAAAATCTTTGAATTTCATATTCTGGGATTGGGGGTTCCAAAGTAGAGTTGTTTAGGCCTAGCATCTCACCAAAGTGTTAGTGAAACCAGGTCCTTTAGTCTTCCCACTCTCCCTCTTATTGGCAATAATGGCGCCGATAGGTTTCAGTTCTTACTGTACCCTTAAGCTCCTGTTTTCCAGGGTCACAGTCCTGCCTCCCAGGGTCACAGTCCTGCCTCAAGTCTAGCTTGAACCCTCCTTCTGCCCCAACCTCCAATCAGCATGAACCATAAGATCCTAACCAACCAGATCATGCTAAGTCCCACTGAGGGGTATTTAAGCCCCTGCCCCACTCTCCCTCACTCTCTTGGCTCTCTGCTCTCTCCCTCTCCCACCCAGCAATAAAGAATCTCTTGGCCAGATCACTCCTCTCCACGTGGTCACTTTGGGGCCTATATTTCCTTACACCTCTCACCTCAACGCAAGACCTGAACACAAACCTAGCCATCCACAGAGCTGCTGCCCTTCCTTCCAGGAAGCTGTTCTGGGTTAAACGGCCAGCTTGCTACTTCTCATTGCATCCCACTCATTCTCTGACACCCCGTAAAGGGTAGAATCTAGTCCCAGGCCGAGGCAGAGTTCCCACTACACACACCTGTCCATTCAAAGTCATGTCCATGCTAAGACCAGGCAGACTGGCCTGATGGAAAAGGCTCTGCCCAGAGACAGCAAGTTCACTGGTTTTCAGCACCCAGTGATAAGGGAGGAACCTCATTGTGAAAGAGTTCACCCAAGCTCTCAGGTTGTGACTGTCACCTGGAACAATAAACACAGATCTGGGTTAGGGGTGTAGCTCAGTAGTAGAACACTTGGCTGGCATGCCCTGGGTACCAGCCCCAACACTGAAAAAGGAGGAGGAGGAGAAGGGGAGAGGGAGGAGGGTTCAGAGAAAAGAATAAAGGAAAAACGACAGCAGATTCCACCAGTGACCTGGAAATACTGGAGTGTGCTAGAATGAGCCTTTCATTCTTACGGGTCCTCAAGAGCATAAGCCCTGCTAAGGACACTCCTATTTACCCCATCTTTTTAGGTAGCCCCTCCGGCAGGGCTACTACTGGTCTACAAGCACCTTTGTGCAAATTAGAGAGAGAGATGCCCCTCCTCCCTATGGCTGCAGCTGGGGGTGGAGAAACAGCCTCCTCTGCGCATGCCCCCTCAGGTTCTCCAGAGCAAACAGCTCCAGAGGAAAGAGACCTGCCTTTTCTACCTGGGGAAATGGAAGCCCAGAGGGGAGCTTGCTCACACTCACGCAGTGAGTCAGTGAAAGCAAAAGCAGAGACGCAGCCCCGCTCCTGCCACCCACCAGCTGGAGGAGGGAGGGTTTCCTTCCCAGGGTGCAGGGCAGGCTCACAGAGAGGCTTCCTTCTCCCTCCCTCACTGTTCTTAGTACACACATCCCATGTCAAAGAGGGCCTCCTTTTCTGCGTGCTCATGAAGGACAATGACAAAAAGTGACGTAAGTGGAGGCAGAACACGAACGAGTTCCGCAGTGCATTCTCACACCAACAATAAACAGGGACTGCAGCTCTGCTCAAACTTTACTATCCACCAGAGAATCAAAACCCAGATGATGGCCCCACCCCGGGGGATTTTCATCCAGGAGGTCAGAGGTGACCCTGAGAATTTGCATTTGCGTTTCCCAGGTGGTGCTAATGCTGCTATCCTGGGGACCTCACTTTGAGAACCACTGGCCCACACTTTCCTCCCTCACCTCTTCACCGTCTTCGCGCTCTCTCTCTCTCTCTCTCTCTCTCTCTCTCTCTCTCTCTCTCTCTCAACCCCCTTTGGTCCTCTGCCCATCCTTCAAATCCTGCAAAGCTTGATGGACTGAGCCAACTCTGTTGGACACGTGGTTCCGGCTCCTGCTTTGCCACGACTCTGTGTGGTCCGCAAGTCTCCTCCGTCTCTAGGCCCAATCTGAGAGCCTGCCTGGACTTTGAGGACCCCTGGCCACTCCCGCAGCCAGGGGCGCCTCCACCTGGGTGATGGGCCCCCAGATCTTTGTGCATTGAAGGGAGGCAGTGAATAAATTAGGCAGCAGTCCAGCTTCTCTCCAGCTGACTCTGGACTTCTGACCTCCTGTCAAATCCGAGCTTTTACCCTCTGCACAGGACGTGACACTTAGGGTCTTTCTAGGACAAGAGGACGGGAGGACGGTCTGAACCTCCAGCAGACCGATGAGGACAGGGAGCCCGGAGACAGCTGTGCGGGTGCGCGGCTTTAGCCCTGGCCCCAGGCCGGTCGAGGCTCCAGCAGGGGGCGCCAAAGCGAAAGCCAAGGCCAAGATGGTCAGCCCAGGTGTCCAGTCTGGAGCTGGGGCGCGGGGTGGGGGGTGGGGGGGACGCTGGGGCGTGGACACCGCGGAGACGCGCCCCGGCCGGCCGCGCTTAAGTAGCTGCGGGACAGTGCGAGGAAGGCAGGAGGTTGCAAGCCCGGCTGCGCTGACCCTTTGTGACCTGCACCCAGACCCACCGATCCCCCAGACCGAGACTGCGCCATGCGGGGCCGGAGCGTGGCTCTGTGGTTCTTCCTGTCCCTGCGCACCGGTGAGGCCCGGCCACCCGGCGGTGAGATCGGGCTCAGGGCGGGGGTCCTGGTGCTTTCCAGCCCCCCATCCCCTCCAGCAGAGTCCCCGGGGCTGGGAGTGGGTCCCTAGCCAGCGTCTCCGAGGAAAGAGGAGTAAAGAAGGCGCGGGATGGAGTGAGGACGGTCAAGGGAACTAGCAGTGTCGGATGGACTGGACATCCGGAGGGCTTCTTGGAGGAGGCAGCCTTGAGCCTGACCTTGAAAGCGTAATGTTTCTTTAAGGCGGGCTGAGGCCGCTTGCAGAGGGCCTTGGGGTGTCAGGAGGAAGTCCCTGGAGGTGCCGCTTCTGTGCGGCGTGGGAGTGGGGTGAGGGTATCGGGGCAGAGTAGCTCTATTTCGCCAGAGCCCTCGTGGGGTCAGGCAAGAGAGACCGCCCGGGTCACCGGTCCCGGGCGTCCCAGCGGGGACGGAGGCTGGGTCTCCTCTCCCCCGCTCGCAGCTGGTGCACCCTTCATCACGCACTCTGCGGGGCGAGGTGGGGCGGAGCGGGCGGCCGACCGTCCAGGGCGCTCGATGCGGATCGGGATGGGGCGCGCAGGCTGCCAGGGAGGGCGCGGCCGGGGTGGGGGGCTGGACGGAAGCCAGGTGTCTCCCTGGCTCACAGGCCCGCCGCAATCCCCGCTGGGCCAGGGTGAGCCCCGGAGGAGCTCAGGTCTGCAGAGCCATCAATCCGAGCAACTGTGACATCCCTGTCCCTGGGCCCCCGCTGGACTCTGACCTGGTCAGATCATGGGGACCTGCGTGAGGCGCTGGAGATAAGTTTGCCTCCAGCACAGAGGTGGAGTTTCTCATCTGCTTTCATAGATATTTAAACAGGCCCAGAGAAGTCAAATAAGTTGCCTGAAGTCACCAGCTCGAGGGGCAGGAATTTGAACTCAACCTGCTGCCTCCCCAGCCTCCCCTGTACCTGCCACTTTCCTTTGTTTGGCAAGGGACCTGTCACTGTGCCCACTGAGACAGGGTGAAGGCTTCTCAAGAGCAGTCACCTGGTCCCAGTACCTCACCCCAGATCAGGAGAAGGGCTGAGGGACCCTCTTTCACGAGGCCTGGAATGGAGCAGAAATTTGCTAATTCTCAGAGCCTGCAGTACTCCCAGCCAGTGCTCCTTTTCCCTCCAGACACTGGCCTAGGCAGCTTGGGGACCCTTACATTCTGTGATGGGCAGGGTTCTGAGTGGGGTGGCACAGAATCAGCCAAGAGTCATTGGTCAGAGAGGCCCGGAGCACAGCTTTGCCCCACCTGTGTGCTGGCTGTAGCCTTTGGGAAGGCGGGGCTGTCGTGTGGCACTGAGGCTGCACACTGTGGGGGCTACCCTCCATGGGACGCCATGGGCTGGGCCTCACTGTCCCTTCCCGCAGTGCTCAGCGGGACGGAGGTGCGGTGGTGTACCATCTCAGACCCCGAGCAGCAGAAGTGTAGTGACATGAGCAAAGCTCTCCAGGAAGCGGGTGTCCAGCCCCTCCTCCTCTGCATCCAGGGCACCTCTGCTGACCACTGCGTCCAGCTCATCACGGTGAGCCTCTCCCCTCCACCCTGTTCCCATCATGGCCCAGACAAGAAGGCTCTGACTCAGAAGGGCACACAACAGCCTCATTCACTGGGAAAGGGGCTGCCGTCCCTCTGCCAGGGCTGGCCGATAGGATCTCCTGAGTTTTCCGGCAACAAGGACGAGTTTGTTTCCTGCCAGGCTCAGGCCAGGCGGGAGGCAGGAAAGGACCACTGTCCAAGTGGACACCAATGGGGAAAGGGGTCTGAGAGGCTGGGTTTCCCTTCCAGAAGGCCCCTGCTAGAGTGGGACACCACCCACCTACCCAGAGGGGTGACCTCTCAGTGACCAGTGGTGGTTACCCACTCTGCCATGAGATGTCCAGAATGAGGCTTGTGTGGTTTCTGGGAAAGCAGGGGAGGGGACGGTGTCCTGCGTAGTGAGTGGGGAGCTGGAAAACAGGACCGAGTACCAGGAGACCGCTGATGGGTCACTGACCATCTTCAGAAGTAGGACAGGATGCGGAGGGGCAGGTACCTCTGGGACAGGCTCAGGGTCTTCATTGCAGCTCAGTCCCTGTAGACTCCTGAGACCTAATCTAACCATAGATCCACGTGGGCCAAGGCCTTGTGTTAGGCTCCACTGTGGGGAAGAAACACTTATACTGAACCATAGTCCCATCCAAGACCCTATGACACATTGGCAGTGTACCGCCAAGTGTGTTTCAAAAGAAAAAGGGGGAAGATTGAAGAGGGTTTGTGGGATTCAGTCTGCACAGACCCTCTTAGAGGGAAAGCCAGCACAGCATGGGGGCAGGAGGCTGGGACTCGCTTTTCACGACACCATGCACTACTTGATTTTAGTGTTTTAACCAGTATATTTAGTAAAGACGGTTAGTCCTTGGCCCTTAGGAGCCCAGCCCAGGCCTGGACATGGTTCCTGTGCCAGGCGAAGAGGGCAGCTCCTCATCGAGGGGACTCATGGGCTGATCAGCACATTTCTTACCAGGCCCGGGAGGCTGACGCCATCACACTGGATGGAGGAGCCATTTATGAGGCGGGGAAGGAGCAGGGTCTGAAACCGGTGGTAGGCGAGGTGTATGATCAAGGTACTGGTTACGGTGGGGGAGAGCAAAACCCCACCCAAAAGTCAGCTGCCAGTCTGGCCTGGCTGGCCTCCCAACCCTGCAGCCCTGAGCTGGTCACTATCCCTGTCCACAGAGCATCCTGGAGTTCTGGGCAGAGAAACTCTGAGAACCCCATAGTTTTTTCTTGAACCCTCTGAGGCTGAAGAGCCAGTTACCCAGAGAGCTGGCCCAAGTCTGTTCTTATGGGGAGCCCAGCTGCACCCTAAGTTTTCCCCACTGAGCCCTTAATGAGGGGCTGCCCCTAGCCTGGTGCAGTCTGAACATGAAGCCAAAGGTCAACTGCCTGGGTGAGCAGAGTCAGTAGTGTCTGGCTTACCTGCACACAGGCAGTGTGGAGGCTGGGGACAGGTGTGTGTCGGGGTGGGGGTGGGGGAGACCAGGGACGCAGAGTCTAACACATCCAGGAATACATCCCAGCTGGCTGAGCTCCTTTGCCCAGCTACTCACCTCACACCAGACCTGCCTCTAGCTAAGTCTGCTCCATGTTGGACCACCTCCACCTGTCTGATGCCCAGCCTACTCTTGCAAAGGACCTCTGAGTCCTGTGTCCCTTGCCTCTGCCAAGGCTCTGCAAGAGTCTGGTCAGTCCCCTAGCAGAGCTAGTCCTCATCTTTTTGAGTCTTGCTTGGAGAAGCCACTGGCTCACTATGTGTTGAATTAGTGGTTGTCCCACGAGGTAGGACACAGTCCAGTCCTGCAGACCAGGCAGCCCTTCTCCTCAAAGGCCAGAGACCCATGGGTCCCAGCACAGCTCTGCCTCTCCATGAACTCAATACCGCTATTGGACACTTACTGCATTCACTGGTTGCCCCATTTTCCTTCAGAGGAGCTCTGCACAGAATAGTAAGCAAAAGATACCTTGTTTCTGCCTCAAACGGCCAGATGCAAGTCCTGAAAAAATAGTTACCCACGGGAGGCTGCTCGGAACAGAGGAAGGACGTGGCAAAGACAGGCATGAGGACACCTACACAGGCTGGAGGGTTTCTGGGAAGGTGTCATCTAAGCCCAGCCACAACAACCATCTCAGGTGGGAAAGATCTTGATGGTTCTAGAAACCAGAAAGAGGATGGGGAGGTCAGAGCTGGAACCGGACGAAGCTGCTGAGGTTGGCAGGGGCCAGACTCAGGTGCGTGAGGAATAGCATTGACTTGATTTTCTAGAACTCAACCTCAACCTCACTCTGATCATGGGCATCCCTCCATCACAGATAGTCAGAGAGAGAGAGGGAGAGAGAGAGAATGTATGTGAGAGAGGCCACGTGACCCTTCTGGAATCTTTTGCAGGGCTATAAGCCCTGCCCCCACCACCCACACCCAGAAGCCATTAAGAGTCTTGAGTGACCTGGAACCACATCACTGGTTGCTTCTCTGTCTCTCTCTACCCCTGAGTCCTCAACACCTGGACATGGCTTTTGCAGCTGCAGGGTAGCCCCTGCTCCCTCCCTAACCCCTGCCCCCACCATCTTCTCTCCACAGCCATGGTGCTCTTCCCTCCCACCCTCCCGGTTCTCCTCAGGGCCTAGGCTTTTGGAAAGCAAAGACTTCAGGATGCTTCTGCTTTGTGGCTGCACAGCTCCCATGGCAAGCACAAGTGCTCTGAGCCAGCTGGCTGTGAAGGAAAGGGGGACATGGATCACTCTCTCAGGGTGCTATCTGCTTTATGAGGCCGGGGAGGGCCGGATCTCGTGATAAGATGTGGATTGCACCTTTTTCCTCCTCAGCAACAGACGCCATGCACACAGACATCCACGCGTATGCCACATGTACATACAGGCACACGTGTGCACTGCACGCACACCCTGTCCCACACCCTGCCTGGGCCAGGTGGCTTTGCAGCCACCCTCACGCCTCACCTCTCCCCCCTAGAGGTGGGGACTTCCTATTATGCTGTGGCTGTGGTGAGAAGGAACTCCAGTGTGACCATCAACACCCTGAAAGGTGTGAAGTCTTGCCACACAGGCGTCAACCGGACAGTGGGCTGGAATGTTCCTGTGGGCTACCTGGTGGAGAGTGGTCGTCTCTCGGTGATGGGCTGTGACGTGCTCAAAGGTGAGGACTTAGGGCTGGCATGGGATCTCTGCTCCCCCACTTTCCTCTACTCCCTGGGGGAGTCCCATCAGGCCCCACCTTCATCCTGTGCCCCACTCCCCCTTGAGGTACAGCAAAGCCCCATTGGAGTTTCTGGCTGGATGGCTGCTACTGGGCATGACTCTGCTCATCTGTCATCATGCCCCATGTGACACAGCCTGGCACAGGGTGCGACCCACAATGGGAGGCATTGAATCACCGAGGAAAAGCTCCTGGTAGCCCAGTGGGGGTCTCTGTATGGAAGTGCGTCCTTAGCTTTCCAGATCAGAAACTCTGTGCTGGTGTTACTTACAGAGTGGGCCTGGGAGCCATGGCCTCTCAGGTGGTGGCCAGGAGTGGGTAGCTTATCAGTCACGTGGCATATTTATAAAATATCAGCCTCCCTGGAAGCACACAGACAGGAGACCAAGACGGGGCTCCTCGTAGCTGGGCGATGAACATGGCTTGGGTGGCTCAGGGCAGGAGAGAGCATTCTCTCTCCTGCACAGGACAAGTACAGTGAAGGGGGCACGTGGGCTCGGTGCTCGTGGGCAGGTCAGCTCCTCTTCACCCACCGGGCTCCTTCTCCCATGGCCTCCCCCTGTTTTGAGAAGTGCCTTAGCCATTGAGGATGCCCATTGATTGAAAATGACCCCTACTGTGAGAACAGTGTCCAGGTGACATGCCCTTGTCCTGGGGGGACATTTGTGAGGACGTGTTATGTTAAATGACAACAAATGCACATTGCCACTTTTGTGGGCTCAGTTTGGGAATCATTCATGAGATCCAGTTCCACAGTATTTCTCAGATTGAAGCTGGAAGGTGGACCATTCCCAGAGGCATCCAGACTGGTCCCTGTGGAGCCCAGGCCCTGCCTGACTCAGCCGGGGTCAGGTCAGGTCAGCTAAGTGACCTCTCTGCTTCTTCCCACAGCTGTCAGTGACTACTTTGGGGGCAGCTGTGTGCCGGGGGCAGGAGAGACAAGTTACTCAGAGTCCCTGTGTCGCCTGTGCCGGGGTGACACCTCTGGGCAGGGGGTGTGTGACAAGAGCCCCTTGGAGCGGTACTATGACTACAGCGGGGCCTTCCGGTGAGGAGCCTGGGTGGGGCTGTGGGTGGAGGGGACAACTCAGAGGCCCACAGGGGAGGCATGTTTGTGACAGCGTGGGCCGAGTGGTATCAAAGCCCCTTTGTGCAGAGCAGCACTGGGCGAGTTTATAAACACCTAACCGGAATGTGCCGGGCTGGGTTTGCTCACAAAGCCAGCATGTTTGGTGTACTTAGAGAAGGAAATGGAAAACACAGCCCTTTGGACATCCCAGGTCCCATCCTGGTGTCTGACCAGCAGTGAGGGCAGATGGGGGAGTGTGACTGGACACTTGCACCGGCAGTCTCTGTGGCTGGTTCAGGCTGGCTCTTTGGATCAGCCCCTCATGGGTCCCAAAGAGCCTAAAAGCTGGTGATCTGGAACCGGGATGGGACCTGCACTTCCCCAGAACACAGTCTTTAGCATCTCCACTGGGAGTGCAGAGCCCTCAGCACTCTCCTAGTATAACCAAACTCATTCAGGCCTGTACGGCTTGTTGTCTGACTATGGGGGCCCAGCAGTTCTGACCTGACCCACACCATGGGCAGGGACACATAGAGAGTACAGGAAACTCAAGGTTCCTTCCACTCCTCCCCACAGCGGCCCATGACAACTGCCTTCTCATTGCACTTGGCAGATGACAGACTAGGACAGACCCACAACTTAGCAGAGCCATGTGGCCAACAAGTCAGGGAGCTAAACCAGAACTGCAGGACTGTGATGTGTGTGACCCCCATGGTCACTCCCTGCAGCCCAGGCTGGACTTCAGGGGTGGGAGATAGGCAGGACTGAGAGGCAGGAGCAAGGCTTGCCCCACCCCTGCTCATGGGTTCTCCTCCATAGGTGTCTGGCAGAAGAAGCAGGTGATGTGGCCTTTGTGAAACACAGCACAGTGCTGGAGAACACAGATGGTGAGTGGGGGACTTGCACAGCTGCCTGGAGTAGGCCCTGGATAGCAGCAGGTACTGCAGTTCAGTGCCACACTGAGTCTGTGGGTGAACTTGGACAAGTCGCACAGTCTCTCAACCTTAGTGCTCCTGTCTGAGAAAAGGAAGAGGTGAGCGTCCCTAACAGCATTCTAGTGACTTCCGTGCAGAAAGGATCCCTGGGCAGCAAGCCTCTGTTCTGATTCTGGTTCGGATTCTTTTGTTTTCACTAGAAGAAGATTGGCATCTATTTTGTTTGCTTGTTTTTTAAGTTTACAAACCTTGTGCTAGATCTCACCTACTGACCCTCCCTGGAATTTTTCTCCTGTTACCTGAAGCAGACTTCTCTTCTCCCCTGACAAGGCCCTGCTGAAGATAGGTTAGCACTATGCGTTGATCCATTATATAATTGTCATTTAAATTTTCTTTAATTTTGAAATAATTGGGTACTAGAAAAGTTGCAAGAGTAATTCAAAGAACTCCCGTCTACTCTTTACCCAGATTCCAGCTTCTAGCATTTGGTCACATTTGATTTGTGGGTGAGGGTACATTTGTCTGTGTCGTACCCCATGGATGTTTTAGCACATATCTCCTAAGAACAAGAAGATATGTTCCCAGCCACAGTGATCAAGTTTAGGAAGTGTAGTGTTGACACAGTTCTGTGAGATAATCTGCAGTCTTTATTTCAGATTCACTAAATGTCCCAATTCTGTCCTTCTAGCAGTTCTAATTTCAGGCCCAGGACCTAGTCTATGATCACACGTAGTGTTTAGATGTTAGATCTCTTTACTTTCCTTTATCCTGGAACAGTTTCCCAGTCTTTGTTTTTATGACACTGACATTTTTGAAGTGTCAGGTCAGCTATTTGATAGAATGTCCCTTAATTTACATCTGCCTGAAGATCATTTCTTTTTTTAAAAAAATTGAAGTGTAAAGCACTTGCCCACCAATCACAAGGCCCTGAGTTCAGTCCACAGTGTGTGAGGGGCTGGGGGAGGCAGTGAATGAGGTATAAATTGTATGCAGCAAAGTTTACTCTTTTTAAAAGGGTGGCTCTATGAGTTTTGCCTCTCAAGTAGTCCAAATAGTACTAGAATCTTTGGGGAGTTCCCCTTTGCTGCCTGGGCTACAGTTCTGGGTAGATTCTGTCAGCGTGTGTTTGCACCATGCCCCCTGACCCTGACCCCTGACCCCTACCCTCTGCCCTCTTGGTATGTTTATCTCCCTCCTCCTAAACTTCCCACATTTTCTTACTGTTTTTAGCTCTACCTGGGTTTGTATTATTGTTAATGCTCCTCAAATCCACTTTGCTAATAGAAATTGGTAGGAGGTATAAAATATGAATAGGCACAGCGCGTGTGGCCCCCAGGGACTTACAGGTCTGGCTGCCAAGCTCTGCTTCGCTAAGAGCATAGGTTTGCCACCCCCACAACACCCAGCCTCGCCGGCCGCCCTCCCACCCTTTCTCAGGTCAGGAGCTGCCACGCTGGCCTCCCTATCTTCCAGGGAAAACCCTGCCCTCCTGGGGCAAGGCACTGTTGTCACAGGACTTCCAGCTGCTATGCAGGGATGGCAGCCGAGCTGATGTCACTGAGTGGAGGCAATGTCACTTGGCCCGCGTGCCCGCCCATGCTGTGATGGTCCGGGCTGACATGGACGGGAGCCTTATGTTCAGGCTGCTCAATGAAGGCCAGGTGAGATGCGATGCCTCACCCCTCAAAGTGTCCCAGGCAGCCCTGGGCCTCCATATCGCTCACAGTGTGGGCACCCAGGGTTAACACCAGGAGGGAAGGGCCAGAGACCAGGTGGGGAGGACCTGGCCCTGGACAGACCTAGCTGGGGCAGTCGGGCAAGCCTGTGTGAAGGACGGACAAGCTGGCAGGGACAGAGAGACTCAGGCCCCCTTCCTTGTGCCTCTGAAGACAAACTAGAACCTATGAGCAAGAAACAAAACAGTAAGTCCGATACATTTCAAGTGTGCCAGTAACTAGCTGTGGTGAAGACTGCCTCGCTGAAACTGCTGCAATGACAGCTACATGTTCCTGCCTGCTGAGGTTGCATCCAGCTTTGTCCCGTCCACACAGCCACTGCCTGGCCATTGCTTGTGCTCAGTACTGTCTCAACCTGGGCCACAAGTCCTATGTCCAGACAGTGGACTGTGACAGGCAAATGAACTGGGGCCAAGGTCACAGGAAGGAGACAGTGGCAGCTGCACTGAAGGGAAGGATCTGTCTGGGTAGCACCCTCACCACCACGCCCTCCCTTGGCACACAGCGTCTGTTCAACCATGAGGGCAGCAGTTTCCAGATGTTCAGCTCTGAGGCCTATGGCCAGAAGAACCTGCTGTTCAAGGACTCCACGTCAGAGCTCGTGCCCATCGCCACGCAGACCTATGAGGCCTGGCTGGGCCACGAGTACCTGCACGCCATGAAGGGTCTGCTCTGTGACCCCAACCGTAAGTCCCCTGTCCCTGCCTCTGCCAGCTCTGGCCCTGCCTGACTGCATCATGGCAGGGCTTTCCAGGGTGGACACTCACTCTGGGGGTCTGTCTTGTGCCTCGTGGCTTCCATGGGAACCTCGCTTCCACTTCTTAGCTGCTGGGGTCCGGGAGGAAGATCTCACAGTTGTGTGGTCTGCTGTACCCTGGCAACCCCTTCTGCTCCAGGGTGGGATCCAGATCATCAGGGCCTGTGAGGACCATCGGATCCCATCAATTCTCCCTCCCCAGTCTCTCACTCGTCTCCCCTTTCTCTGCCCCCGGCTATGTCCTGCCTGGTGCATTGCCTCTTGCCTAGACTGCTACAGTAGTCTGTAAGCCTCCAGACCCTTAATCCCACACACCCTCCACCTTCCGCCTGCGAAGTAGTATACCAAACACCGGGTTGGCCACACAGCAACCATTGTCTGCTTCAAGCCTCTCGCGGCCCCTGGAAAGAAGGGACCATTTCTATAAGGGGAGGTAGAATCAGATGTTTAAATAACAGATCCTGACTACACGGCTAACAAGAGAAAACCAGAATTTCCCTGAGTGTGTCTGACTCTAAGCTCTCCCTGCTGAAGTACCCCAGTTCCCACGTGCACCCTACATAGGTCTTCCCCACTACCTGCACTGGTGCGTGCTGTCCACACCAGAGATCCAGAAGTGTGGAGACATGGCTGTGGCCTTCAGTCGTCAGAGGCTCAAGCCAGAAATCCAGTGTGTGTCAGCCGAGTCCCCCCAGCACTGCATGGAGCAGATCCAGGTGAGTCAGGGGGTAGGCAGTGGCGGGTGGGGCCTGTGATGGACCTTGCTACCCATCCCTGTGCTGTCAGGGACAGAGCCATCCCCTGTAACAAACCACAGAGAAGAAGGGCAGGAGGAAGGACGGAGGTGGGTGGGGAATGGAGCTATGTTGTGGCAAGCCCCCTCCCCTTTCTGAGTGTTTCCCTGTGCACCATGGGGCAGGCTGCATCGTTTGCCTGACATTTCCACCCTCAGAAATACATTTCAGATGGGTTACGATCTAGTGCACACACTTCTTTCAGGTAGAATGAGGTAGAAACTATACACCTTGCATAGGAAGGGATGTGAGCGCAAGCAATATGATTTTTCCTTCTGTATTTGGCCTGTCCAGCTGGCCTGACACCCACTTATGCACTCACCATCCACAGCAAAATACACAGCCCTTGCTGGGGCCCTGTCCAGCCTTTTCCTCTTGGCTTCTCTGATTGGTCACTGAAGCTAGAAGACAGAGGGTCCCCAGAGTACTACAGCTGAGGAGGGTCCTACTATGCTCACAGGGGTGGCCAACCTCAGGCCTATGAATGCCTCTACCCCTAGTCCTGTTTTAAGGGCAGGTAGGTCGGGGTAGTCCCCAAGCACAGGCCACAGTCCCTCAGAAGTGCCCTTCCTGCCGCGGCCAGAAAACCATGTTGGCTACAAGGCCAAGAAGAGGAGCCTGGACAAGAATGAAAGGGGTGACTGGGCTCATCTCTATCCCATGAGCCCATGCTTCCTGTGTGCCAGCACTGTGAGACTGTGTGGATTATCTCACTTAATCCTGAGACAACCCTGTTCTGGCCCCACTTGCAGACCTGGACACTAGGGCTGACAGAGGCTGAGTAAGGAACTTACCCAAGACCACCAGCTCAGGTGGGCAAGTTGCTGCTTTGTCCAGGGGCTGACAGAAGTCTGTGTGTGCAGGACTGAACCCAACTGGGTGCAACAAAGGCAGAGGTCCCTCAGTGGAACTAAGGAAAGGGCGACTGGTGGCAGTAGGGGGGTTGCTTTGTTTCCCAACACCTGGCAGGCTAGTCTATGGCTGGTGGCTCCCTCCAAGGGCCCCAGAGCAGGGAGAGATGTGGGAGGGAGGCTCAGCCACCTCCAGGAGGAGCCTCCTCCCACTCAGCCCGTGGATCAAAACATCAGTGGTACTGACTGACCAGTGTCACAACTTTATTCCTCTGGCCTGAATGGCATAGGACACTGTCCTTGGGTGCCCAGACCCTTCTCTCTCCAACCTCACACCCTTCCTTTAGGGTTTGTCACACTTCTCTGGCTTTATTACCATGTAAACCCTTTGTAGGGTCCAGGGTCACCTGTCAAGAGGCTTTAGAATGGACAAGCAGGGTGGGATACAGGTGGCCTGGAGTCCTCTCCTTTTAAGCTCTGGCTCTTCCACTTGAATTGCACACACATAGTGTGCCGGGGCTTGGCGACTGCTGAGAGACCTCAGACCTCTGGAGGATGGCAATCTCTGGGTACCCCACGCCACGCAGGAGGGCAGGACCAGTGCTGTGCTTCGCTCAGAGCAGAGTCACACAGGAGACACTCAAAGCTGAAAGAATGAAGCAGATGCCTGCAAGCAGGGAGGCTGTATTGGCTGCTCCCAGCCCTCGGGCCCTCCCAGCACACTCTTGGCCAGGAGTGTTCACGAGCAGGGGAAGGGGCAGATAAGCAGGATGGCGTTTTCCCAATCCAAGTTCCCAGGAGAAGGGAGTCTGAGGCCACAAACCCCCAGGGGCCAAGGCCCTGCCGCCTCTGGAGATCCTAACATCCAGAGCTGACTTTCCTGGGTCCACCCCAGCTCAATTGCTCTCTGCTCTCTGCAGGCTGGGCACATCGACGCAGTGACCCTGAGGGGTGAGGACATTTACACAGCAGGGAAGATGTATGGCCTGGTCCCAGCAGCTGGGGAGCTCTATGCAGGTGAGTACAGTACCAGCTGTACAGCACCACCAGGCAGTGGTTGATGTCTTTATAAATATGAAAACTTCCTCTCAGCCATGCCCACAAGCTCTAGATCTCACTCTGCACCTCTCTCCCTGGACCTTCTGTCAGCCTCTGTCACCAGGCAAGCCCCTCCAGTCCAAGGCCTCAGTTTCCCCATCTATGCAATGAGCATCTCTAAGGTGTCAACAAACTTCCTGCAAGGTCAGAGGGTTAATGCTTTGAGCTTTGTAGACCAGACAGACTCTGTTACACATTCTTCTTTTAAAATTTCCTGTTAATAGTGAGGTACAGTAGCTTAAGTCTGTAATCCCAGCTACTTGGGAAGTAGAGAGCAAGAGGATTACGGTTCAAGATGAGCCAGAGCAAAAAGTTCTCAAGACCCCATTTCTACCAATGACTAGCATGGTGGTATGCACTTGTCATCCCAGCTGTGACAGGAAGCACAAATAGGAGGATCTTGGTTCAGGCCAGAACCTATCTCAAAAACAACCAATGCAAAAAGGGCTGTGGGCATGGCTCCGGTGGTAGTGCGCCTGCCTAGAGTCCCTGAATTCCCCAGATCCAGGTGCTGGTGGCTCACGCCTGTAATCCTAGCTACTCAGGAGACAGAGATCAGGAGGATCTCAGTGCAAAGCAAATAGCTCGGCCAAATAGTTCGAGACCCTATCTTGAAAATATCTAACACAAAAACCAGGCTGGTGGAGTGGCTCACCAGCCACTAGAGCACCTACCTAGCAAGCATGAGGCCCTGGGTTCAAACCCCAATACCGAAAAAAAAAGAAGATTCCATTAATAAATATAAATATAAATATAAAAACCATTCTTAGGTGGCAACACCGGCCATCACAGTCCACCAGATAGTTTGCAACTTTGAATTCTTGGGTGCCATTGGCCTCTCCCTGCCCTAACTATGCAGCCCTCCCCTCATCAGCTCAGTCCCACCTTGGTGGCCTGGGCTTGGCTTTGGCCTCTGTACTCTGAGTTCTATTAGTTTTAACTTTGGGACTTTGGGTCCCTTCCACAAGGAATCTCTGCTCAGGGCAAATGCTTCTGCTGGGCCTCCAATTTTCTCCCAGGAAGTGAGAAAAATGCCATGTGGGTGTGAGAATGAAAGGACAGAAGCCCTTTGAATAAGGGCTGTTAAGGTGTGGCCGGGGTCAAGGTTGAAACGTAGAGCCACACAGGATGCCTGTCAGCAGTGGGGCGCTGGACTTGTTCCCTGAGGGGATTAGTAGTGGGAAGATCCCCCTGGGGATTGGGATTGGTCCTAGCTGGGGTGAGGATCCCTTGCATGATGTCCTTCTCCTTCCCAGAGGAGGACAAGAGCAATTCGTACTTTGTGGTGGCTGTGGTGAGGCGGGATAGCTCCCATGCTTTCACCTTGGATGAGCTGCGTGGGAAGCGCTCCTGCCACCCGGGCTTTGGCAACCCCACAGGCTGGGACGTGCCCGTGGGCGCCCTCATCCGGAGGGGCTTCATCCGGCCCCAACACTGCGACGTCCTCACAGGTACCACCCTCTGAGGGCCACAGCCACAGAGTTGTTCTTTGGAAGTGGATGGAGAGGCCACCAGCACCGTGTGTGGTCAGGGTCCACTTGAAGGCAGCCCTAAGGTCTCTTCTTCCTCCTTGTCATGGCTTGGCGCTGGGAAGGCTGGGAGACTGGGTGTCTCTGGTGGTTCCATGGAGGGAGCTGGGGCCCCAACACCACTGACTCTCAATACAAGCAGCCAATAGGCACGGGAAGGGTGCACACATGGGCCTGGGCCTGACTTTGTCACCATCCAGTCATGTCCCCTCTCCCAGCATACCCTGGGCATTTGGGGACCATGTTGGAAAGTGCCCAGGATGTGCTAAGATGGGGACAGAAGGAGAAACATTTGCCAAGCAACCCCATCAGCCACAGGTGAAGCTCTCCATCGTGTGTTAACTCATACAGCATCTGTGGTGCGAGGTTGTGGCCAGAAGCTGGAGAGGTGCTTGAGCCGCTGACTGGCCACACACCTCTGCCCTGGCTGATAACTCAGAGAACATAAACTCATCTTCTTGACCCTCATGGAGGCACAGAGAGGGCACTGGGGTTGGTCAGCCGCCTATCCAGACAGCTGGGCAGTTGCTCAGACAGGGACAGAATAGTTCATAGGCAGTGAGTTCCCTGTCCCCTAGGGAGTGCAAGCCAGGACTGGTGGTCAGAGCGGGGTGGAGGCTGTCTCTCTGCCCCTCACGGCCCCTTGCCTCCACCCCAGCTGTGAGCGAGTTCTTCAATGCCAGCTGTGTGCCCGTGAACAACCCCAAGAACTACCCTTCCTCACTGTGTGCGCTCTGCGTGGGGGACGAGCAGGGCCGCAACCGGTGTGTGGGCAACAGCCAGGAGAGGTACTATGGCTACAGCGGAGCCTTCAGGTACTTGGCAGCAACTGGGGGATGGTCTGGGTGGGCACAGAGGTGGGACCTTCCTTCTGACGCCTATTCTGCTCTCTTGTGCGGCAGGTGCCTGGTGGAGAATGCAGGGGACGTTGCCTTTGTCAAGCACACAACTGTCTTTGACAACACAAACGGTACGTGAGCAGGGCTTGGGCCAGAGCAAGGACAGGTTAGGGGAAGAGGCAGGGTTCCTGTCCCCAACACAATCCAGACACCCAGTCTGGAGTGTCTGAGTTTGAGGCGGTCCCTCACCATTGATGTGGCGGTCCCTCCTGAGATGCTCTTGTAGTGCTGAGGGGTGGACGAGGACAGAGCCTCTCCACAGTCTGCATTTCACACCGACTTCAGGTCTTTGGTCCTTAGCAGGTCAGTGCCCCCTGCAGGGAGATCACTCTGTGACCCCCAAGCCACACCAAGGTAGGGCCCACCCCAGGCTCCCCAAAGTCACCTTCCCAGGCTCCACTTGGGAAAAAGAGCCCAGACACTCTGCCCCAGGAACCCCTAAAGCTATACCTGAGGCCATCTAGGGGTACAAGGTCCTCTTAGCTTGTGTGACCTCCACTCAGGCAGAGAGCTCATATCTGTGCTGAAGCCCAGGGGCCGTTTCCCCCAACATCTAGTGCTGTACTTTCTGCCTACCCTCCTATGCCCCAGGCTTCGAAACCCCAAACACCAGAGGCTCTGTCATACCCTGTCCTAACACATCTCTTCCTAGAGATGCAGCCCAGCAAAGCACAGCTGGGGTCCAGAAGGAGAAGCAATACACGGAGGGAAAAACACATAAGTGTTTCAAAATGCAGATCCCGTCAGTAGTACTGTGGGGGTCACTGGGATGGGGGGCTCTGCCCCAACAGGACTGGACAGAGCGCCAGACCCCCAACCCAGCCTGTTACCACAGCCCATCTCCCCTGCCCCACCTCCATCCAGTACACTCAGGCCCCCCTCCCCAGGAGGGGCTGTGTTCCCTCAGGAGTGCTGGCAGTCCCTGCTCCCGAGATGGGGCTTGGAGGAGGGCTGCAGGGTTCCTTGGGAGATTCGCTTGCAGTGAGGCACCTCCCAGGAAGCCCCTTTCCATTTTATCTTTACTCCACTCCGTGGAACCCAGCTGCTGTTCCTTCTGGAGACAGAAGGAAGGTGGATACTGAGTGAATCCCAGAAGACACAGAAACAATGCGACTCCTGAGGGTAGCACTTTCTCAGGGAGCTCTAGCTTGCTTCAGCACCAATAGGGTGCTGGTCTCAAACGCAGGTTCCTGGCCCTGCCCAAGGCCTGGCAAATGCAATTCTTGGCAAGCAAGGGCCCATGCTTGCAAAGAGAACTTGAGTCTTTAGGAGTCACCCCTCACCCAGTCCCAAAGGTGTAACACAGCTGGGATCCCTTGCCTGGGAGTGATGAAGAGCCTTGATTTCTTACCTGTAAAATGGGATAACACCTCCTGTGTTACCGCTGTGAGGGTCAGGCAGGGGCTGCAAAGTGCCAGTCATATATTAGGTCACCCCTGCTCCCCACCAATGGAAGCTCCTGCGGGGTTCTGAGGCCCTGGTAACAGAGCAGATCACTGGGAGGACGGAAAGGACCAGGACCTGCTCAGATTCTGCTACCTCCTCCCAGTGAAGGGCTGGGATCATTCTCTCATTGTCCCCTCAGGCCACAACCCTGAGCCCTGGGCTGCAGGCCTCAAGTGGAAGAACTACGAGCTGCTTTGCCCCAATGGGGCACGGGCTGAGGTGAACCAGTTCAAAGCCTGCAACCTGGCACAGATACCATCCCACGCCATTATGGTGCGGCCAGACACCAACATCTATACTGTGTTTGGACTGTTGGACAAGGCCCAGGTGAGCCAGTGCAGGGCCTACCTCCCTGAAGGCAGGGTAGCAACAGTGAGCCAAGTCCCCTGGAGCAGACCTCCAGAGAAACTGAGGAAGCTGGAGGAAAAGTCTATGGCTTTCTCTCTACCCAACATCCCTGATGTCATTACCCCTTCTCAATCTGACCAGCCTCACCGGCACACACGTGCTATTATTTCACCATCTGTAAAAAATGAAAGCAAACTAATCCTCTTGGCCTCACATCTTGTAGCCCGAATCTCACTCATTTTGGTGGTGGTGTTTTTGGTGCTGGGAATCAAACCTAGGACATTGCACATAGTAGGCAAGCGCTCCCCTACTCCTTTTTAGAACGAAATTGTTTCTACTGTGAAGCCATTAATTCCTCTCCTGCTCTCTCTTAAGCATGGAATCTATCCCATCAGGGCCCTGAAACTGCTTTATCAAGTGGCCCATGTTGCTAGATTCTGTGGCTGATTCTCAGTCCTCATTGTACCACTGGCCACAGCTCTCTCCTCCTGAAGTTCAAATCCCTTCTGGAAGACTTTCTCCAGTGGCTCCCAGGTTTCCACATCGGCCTGGCTCTCCTCCCACCGCTCTGCCAGTATACTTTGATGGTTCCTCCTCATCTCTCTGGCCTGTAGATGTGGGAACACCCCTGGATTCAGTCCTAAGCCCTCTTCTCTATGTACACTTACACCTTCATGTCTCCTGTCCAGTCTTATGTCATTAAATACCATCTGTATAGAGATGGCTCCTGAGTTTGCATCTTTACTCCTGATTGCAATCTCATCCTTCAACCCCAAATGGTGTAGTTAACATGCCTACTTGACATTTCTGTTTATATTCCTAACAGATGTCTCAAACTGATCAAGTCCAAGGTTGAGCCCCCCCCCCCGCCCCACTCCCATTGCTCCCTCAGTTAGTAGCAGCAATAGCCTTTCCACTTCCTCAGGAGTCCTCTCTGACTCATCTTCATCCAATTCATCAGCAAGTCCAAAATACAGCTAGAAATGTCAACCCAGACTGTCTGAGGAGCCCTGGATTCAAACCCTCCAACCTTCCTCCCCCTCCATTGATTTAGGCTGAAATTGCCCCACCAGCACCACAGAATTGCAGAGCCATGGGCTCTCCAGGCCTGTTCCTAAGCTTTGAAATTATTTGTACTCTGCTCATCTTCCCCATGGAGTCCTGTCCCAGGAGCTCCTTCCCAGGCCAGTGGGCTTCCCCAAGGGTCCCCCAATCCCCCTGAAGTAGTCCTGCATGGGTGTGCATTTCTCTGGAGAGAAGACTCACAGATCTTATCAGGTCTGTAAGACATCAATGAGCCCCTCCAGTGGGCAGCCACTTCTCCTTCCCTCTTGATTCTTACTTGCCAGCCAGTGGGCAGGTGTGGCTCCAGATGTTCTGTATGTATATGTATGGCTTCTCGTACTACTTCTAGATTTTTTGCTAGCTCTTTTGAGCTGTTCATAGCACATCCAATCCAAGGACTCCCCATAGGGAAGTGAGTAGCAGTGACATCTCTGGGACCCCGTGGGGCTTAATGAGGTCATCCTCAGCTCCCGCATTACTTTCTTATTACTGGTCACAGAACAAAAGGCTCTCTCGTTAAGATTGTTTTGGTTCTCTGGGAAAGGATGCCCACAAGATAGATGGAGAAAGTTGTAGAAAAGATGTCTCAAGTGTAATCTTAGTTATTTGAGAGCTTGTTTGGAGGTTCTAGCAGGGGAGCGCAGCTACTCGTATACCCTTGACCGAAGAACGGTCCTCCTCTATCGGGGATGGTCGTCCTCTTCGACCGAGCGCGCAGCTTCGGGAGGGACGCACATGGAGCGGTGAGGGAGGAAGGGGACACCCGCCTAGCCAGCCAGATCAGCCGAATCAACCCTGGCGATCAATGGGGTGACAGATGTCGCAGCCAGATCGCCCTCACATCCAATCTTAGTTATTTGAGAGGCAGAGATCAGGAGGGTCTCAACTCAGAGACCAGCCAGGGCAAATAGTTCATGAGATCCTTCTCGAAAAAACCCAACACAAAACCAGGCTGGCACAGTGGCTCAAGTGGTAGAGCACCCGCCTAGCAAGCTTGAGGCCCTGAGTTCAAACCTCAGTACAACAAAAATTAAAAAAAGATTGAGGAATGCTGAGCAGGGCTAGCAAAGCACTCAGTGATGGCACCACACCATCACTTGATTCTGGGTCCTTCTTCCCGAAAGTCTCATGCTTCAGTTCTGCATCCAGGCACTTATTTGGTAAGACATTTCTGCCTATGTTAGGGCAGTGTCTCTGGACATATCTTCCCCCAAACTTTTTGCATGACAGAGGCTAGTAAGCAGCCAATCAGTTGACCTCACATAAGGGTCATAGTCCCCTGAAGTTCCTTGCTCTTTGGGGCCCTGATGAAAAGTGGTGGTTGTTTTTGCTGCTTCCAGGACGTGTTTGGAGATGACCACAATCAGAACGGGTTCAAAATGTTCGACTCCTCCAAATACCACAGCCAAGACCTGCTTTTCAAGGATGCTACTGTCCGGGTGGTACCTGTCGGGGAGAAAACCACATACCTCGACTGGCTGGGGCCTGACTATGTGGCAGCTCTGGAGGGAATGCTGTCTCAACAGTGCTCGGGAACAGGTAGGGCCCCAGCCTGCTGGGCAGACAGCTGTGACAGTCCCCGTGATGGGCCCTGCCACACCCCTCTGACATCACTCAGACCTTTTCACCTAAAACTTTAAGGGAGCTGCGGGGTTCTCTAGGCCTAGGTGACACAGAGTAGAGGTCCCCACTTCACAAATCATCCAAACAGGGAGGCTGCAGACAATTCTGGCAGGCACACTGGCCTTGTCACCCAAATAGATCTGAATAATGAACATAAATGCTGAAAATGATAGTCCACAGAAGACTTGAGGTAATTCCATAAATATTCATGTGGCATAACTTGGAAAGGAATGAATATGTAAAGCAACCAGGGGAAGGGAACAGTGTAATGAGGTAGGAAGAGGGAGACTGGAAGGAGGCTGGAGCCTGCTGAGTGCACAGAAATAGGTATCCTGAATCCTGTGCTCAGCCACCATGGCTGGGGGCTTCCAGCTCTAACTGCCTGTGTCTCCCCCAGCCCCCCAGGCCACCCTGCTGCCATTGCTCCTGCTGCCTCTGGCTGCCAGCCTCCTCCTGCATAGCCTCTGAAAGGGGCTTCCCAGCTCAACTCCTCGGGATGGACTACTCAGAATCCCCAGATGAGGCTGTCCCCTTGGGACACTGCTACAGAAACAGACTATGGTGGAGCAAATGTGAACACACACACACACACAGCTCCTCGATGCACGATTCTGACCTGAAGAGAAGTTTCTGGAACCAAGACAAATGCTAAGGCAAAGTCCCCCCACCTGAGCAAGCTGCCACCCCCAGGCCACCTGGCTTTGAATACCTGAGGCGGCTGGCACATATCCCAGTCACACCGCCCAGGCTTGCAGTGCTTCCCAGAACCTGCAGCCTCCCACCTGGAGCCTCCCCAGGCTGGCTGGAGGAAGAGGCCTGTTACCAAGGAAACAACTGGGCCTGGCTTCCCACTCGGGCCTGTGTGCGTTCCAGGCCTGGGGAGGTGTGAGAGTATCCCACTTGGTCTCCCCCGCACCCCACCTCCCTCCTGAGGACACTGTATCTACCAAGACATCTACAGCTGAGGCTCAGGCCTTCCAGGAGGCAGGGCTGGGAGTATCTCAGCCCTTCGTCCTTGTTTTCTGTGGCTCCAAGTGGTCCAGCCCATTGAACAGGGATTTCTGCCAGGCCAGGGAAGGGAGGGAGGCTAGAGCTCTGGGTGGGGACAAGATCCTCAAGGGACCCTAAGAGGAGTAAGTGCCCCTTGGTAGGTGGGGGGCTTGCCAAGGGTGTGAGACTATATCCTGCCTGAACACCAGGAAGTGCTTGGCCTTGGGGTGAATTCGTTGTAGCAGCTCTGTCCCAGTGAAGCTGGCCATCGGAGTCCACTCCCAAGTTTCCTCCTCTGGGCTCAGTGTCAGATTACCTGCCGCCCCCCCACCCTACTCCTGGACCTCTGTCAGTGCGGTTGGTTCCCTAGTGACAAGGAAGGAGCAGGAGGTGACCCAGGCCTCGGGCAGCATGAAGCCCTCTGAAGAACTGGTCACAAGGACATGCCACAGGCTAGGGGCTGGGGTGAGCCCCATCTCCTCCACTAACCTTGCACCTACTGGGCCCAGAGCCCACCTCTAAAGGAAGGGTCCCTGCTTCCTTCCTGCCCCCTGTAACAGTCAGTAGAAAGCCTGGAGAGGACCCTCTCACCACTCCATTTTGTCATAGTTCTCTGAAGATCCAGAAAAAGTTTTCCCCTAACTGCCAACTCTTATTCCAAATTTTGCTTCCTTTAAAAAAAAAAAGAGAGAGAAGGAACAGGAGCAAGCAGCCCTCCTCAGCAGACTGGAAGTCACATGGGCCTGGAGCTATTTGCAGCCTGGTCTGCGGGGGCCTCCAGGACTCTGATGACAGGCCAGGCTCCCGGTGGCGCATCCCCACCTGTGGGTGTTGGGCAGGATCCCGTCCATCTCTTAGCAGCACAGGAGGCCCTGACAGCATCCTGGCCATAGCCACACCGTCCTGAAGAGTGCTGGTCACCATGCTGAGGCAGCTCTCACCCCTGAGAGGGGCCAGCAGGAGTTAAGCCTTTGTTCTGTCAAGCTTTGTTCTGTCTTCACTGGACACAGCCAACCATTCTTCTCTGACCCGATGATAGTTTGAGTTTTTTTAAAGTGAGTTTTGTGCAGTGAGAAGTGTATCTCCGTGTACTGCCCAGGGTGTGACTGACACCTGTGCTGTGTGACATTGAAGGTGTGACTTGCGTGAGTGCTGTGTAAATGACGTCTGATTGTCAGGGTCCTCTGCTGTGTTAGTGCTAATTAAAGATGTTGGGGTTTTTTTTTGTTTTTTTTCAATAAAGCCAAATAACCCTTCACATGCAGAGGCTTGGATTCTATAGAAACTGCTGCCGATTCACTTTGTTTTCTTTGGTGCTCGAAGGCCTATCTGCCTAAGGCCACGGCTCTGCCTCAGAACAACACAGATTCCACTCAGAGCCCTGTGTCTGAGAGTGGAGTCAGAGACCACTCTGGGCCTGTAGCCAGCAAGGCCTCCACTCCCTTCTCCCATCTGGACTGGTTCTCTGGCCCCCAAAGTGCCTCAGCTGTCCCTGGCACATCCCAGCTGCCTCCACCCCCTCAGCCTCTTGGGTGTCTGCTCTTCTGGGGATGCAGAGGAAGACGTGAACGTCTCCACTTCCCCTTGCCCTGTGTCTCCATACTAAGCCACCCACACCGTTTCTTTTGCAAGCCGGCTGCTAACTCACTGGAGGGGAAGGTGGGGAGCAGATAGCTAGAGTCCTTGCAGTGGGCGCTCCCTGGCCTGTACTGACGTGTGGATGAACTCTGGCTAAGAGTGGAGGTCCTCTGTGCTCCCCTCTCTCCTCTCCTCTCCCCTTCACTCTGTCCCTAAGCTTCCCTCCCTCCCTCATGGCCACCATCTCATACAAGTGGGCCTTGCCCACCAATACACATGGCCATTTCCCATGAGGTAGGCCCAGTCATTATGAAGCCAGGAGACCCCAAGGACCTGTGTGGCAAAAGTTGACAGACTTTATCTCTGCATCACCTGGTTCAGTTGCAATCACCACTCACTCCATCTTTCTTCCTGCTACTCCTCCTACCCCACCCAAACCTTTAGGAGCCCCTGATCCTGTCTAAAGAGTAAGCAGTGTAACACCTGCCCAGTGAGGTTGTCAGGAAGGTCAGGTTATAATGTATAGAAAACAGCACCATCCAGCACATCACAGGTACAGAAGATGTTTGTTGTTGCTGTCATTATGGAGTCTGTATTTGTATCGTCTAAGTTTCAAATTCTTGGGAGAGATCATCTGATTGACCCAATATGGGTCAGGTGGCTACTGCTACACAAATCAGCTCAGACCAGAGCTGAAACTTGACCACTGAGGCCCCAGAGAGAAAGGAAATGAAATCTCTGAGAGCCAGGGAGTCATGCTCATTGGTCTACCAGTCCTGCATTAGGTAATATTTGCCATTAGTTAAGCCATTATTCATTGATACTATTAGTTCCACACCTGGACCTGGGCAAGAGAGGCCTGGTGCTCAGTCTTGTGCTTTAGACAGTGTTGAGCAGACTTTGATGTTCACCTGGGGATCCTGTCAATATGTAAATTCTGACTCTGTAGGACTGGAGTGAAGCCAAGTGTCTGCCATTCTCACCAGCTCCTCACAGAGTTCATGCTGATGGTCTGGGGACCACACTTTGATAAGCAAACCTCCAGGGGCTTCTGCTGGAGCCCTCCTCTGAGCACATCCTGCCCATGATGGGAGGAGTCACAGGGAAAAGAATGTGTGCCTATAACCCATCATTTGGCCTGTGCTCCATAACCAGGATCCTGGAATTCTTATACCAGACAGTCTGCAGATCTTGGACAGCCTCTTCTCCAGGTCCCGCCTCCCCAGGTGGCCAAGGATGACTGTTTGCAGGAGATGTGGATAAATGTCACAAGCAGGCTGCATGCACACAAAGTCCTTCAAGTGTGGGATGCAGCCTGAATGGGGAGGAATTGCCTCCCACAGGCTGGGCAGGTACTCTTCCACTTGAGCCATGCTTCTCCCCACCCCCAGGTCCTGTATTTGGTTTCTGGGATAGGGTCTTGATAACTTTTGCCTGGGATTGCTTCAAACTCAATGTCTTCCTGCCTCTACTTCCTGAGTAGCTGGGATTACATGCGTAAGCCCCCACATTGGTTCCTGAGTCTCCTTTAGGTATTTACGCTGAAGATGTATACCTCAGGACCATCCTGTAGAATGTTCACACAATGGGGATAAGTGCTGTCATTTTTTTCTCATTTCAATTTGGAAAACATATAGCCCACTCATCTAGGATTCAGGAACCTTGAATTCTTCTACATTTTCTTTCACCTGGGGAAATACTTGCTCCTCTGTCACTCTTAGTGCCTAAGTCTGTGAAACGGGGAATTTGGATGGTCCCTCGGGGATTTCAGCTTTAACTTGACTTTTGCTTACACTAGAAAAATCCATCTAGGGGCTGGAGGTATGGCACAAGTGGTAGAGTACCTGCTTTGCAAGAGCAAAGTCCTGAGTTCAAAACCCCAGTCCTGCCAAAAAATATATACATCTATTTTTAAAAAGTCAATCTAGCCAAGAAGTGGTGCCCACCCGTAAACCCAGCATTCAAGAGACTGGGGCAGGATAATCACAGGTTCAAGACCTGGTTGGGCTACATAACAAGACCCTGTCTCAAAAAAAAAAAAAAAATTCCGAGATATAAAAACAAATCAGCCTTCCCAGAGTTGTTGCTGACCTGCTCTGAACAGCCTGTTTGGAGGTGCAGAGGGCCAGGTAGGCTCCTTTAGGTCTTTTTTTCACAGCTGACTTTGGGTTGGTGCTGCCATCCTGAAAGCTATTTCCCAGCCGGGAGTCACTGTACATCAAGGCCTCCCACTCCAGTATATGACAGGTCACATGGAGGCCTTCTTAAAACAGTTTGCTGCACCCCACCCCTGGAGTCTTTGTCTGGCATGGGCCTGAGAATTTGCATTTCTGGCAAATTCCCAGGTGACATTTGATGCAGCAGGTCAAGCCCCCTCACTTTGAAGAACACTGTTAAAGACAGTGTGATTTTGTACCTCGTAAGCAGGGCACCTGCCAGGGCTTAGGTGGGGAGGGTGAGTGGATATGGTCCCTTGTGGAGGAAGCTGGGCCCTGCCTGGTAAAAGGCCTGTGAACTTCACGATGTCTCTGTGGGCAGAGGTGGGGTGTACAGGAAGATGGTAGCACCAGCCCTGGACTCTGTCAAGCTGGCTGTGGGAGGGGAGCTGCCTGCAGTTGGCCAGCTCTCCACCTGTGGCTTCCTCCTTTCCTTTCTCCTCCTTCTGGCCCCGGTATTCTTCACCCTCATGCATCTGAGTAAGGCCTTCAGGAAGAGTAGAGAACCCAAAGGTCAGCCTGGGAAGGATGTGTGTGGTCAGATTGTCCCCTCGATCTTCTTCTTAGCTTCTGAATTCCCCAGAAACCTCTAACTCAACCAAAAATCCAAGCTTGACCTCTACTATGGCCCACCTTTGGACACGGAGTTGAAGAGAAGGGTTGGATGGCTTGCTGGGCAGGGTG